TTCTTATTTTCTAATTAAATAAATAGTACTAAGTAAAATATAATAAATAAATTCTCAAGTTTGTTAGTAGTGAAGGTCTACCACGATATAACTCGTGATTAGTAATGAACGCGTTAAACAATGTTTCTCTGCGTACGAAGAAACGCATCCGACGTAGACTTGTTCTAGACGCCAACATTCCTTATTTTCTAATTAAATAAATAGTACTAAGAAAAATATAATAAATAAATTCTCAAGTTTGTTAGTAGTGAAGGTCTACCACGATATAACTCGTGATTAGCAATGAACGTGTTAAACAATGTTTCTCTGCGTACGAAGAAACGCGTCCGACGTAGACTTGTTCTAGACGCCAACATTTCTTATTTTCTAATTAAATAAATAGTACTAAGTAAAATATAATAAATAAATTCTCAAGTTTGTTAGTAGTGAAGGTCTACCACGATATAACTCGTGATTAGCAATGAACGTGTTAAACAATGTTTCTCTGCGTACGAAGAAACGCGTCCGACGTAGACTTGTTCTAGACGCCAACATTTCTTATTTTCTAATTAAATAAATAGTACTAAGTAAAATATAATAAATAAATTCTCAAGTTTGTTAGTAGTGAAGGTCTACCACGATATAACTCGTGATTAGCAATGAACGTGTTAAACAATGTTTCTCTGCGTACGAAGAAACGCGTCCGACGTAGACTTGTTCTAGACGCCAACATTTCTTATTTTCTAATTAAATAAATAGTACTAAGTAAAATATAATAAATAAATTCTCAAGTTTGTTAGTAGTGAAGGTCTACCACGATATAACTCGTGATTAGCAATGAACGTGTTAAACAATGTTTCTCTGCGTACGAAGAAACGCGTCCGACGTAGACTTGTTCTAGACGCCAACATTTCTTATTTTCTAACTCAATAAATAATAATAAGTAAAATATAATAAATAAACCCTTAAGTTTGTTAGTAGCAAACGTCTACCACGATATAACTCGTGATTAGCAATGAACGCGTTAAACAATGTTTCTCTGCGTACGAAGAAACGCGTCCGACGTAGATTTGGCATTAAAAAATTGTCTGACAACGGTATTTCCAGTTTGTTTGTGAAAGCTGTCGAGTTTGATAGTCGCTGGCAAAGACAGATATCCGCGGGCGCAGCGGTGGCGGACGTCATGCGTCGTCTGCCGTCTCCCGGACTCGTGTTTGACCCAGATATCCGGTAATTTCCAACTGGCTAATTATGCAGAAAGCAGCTACAAAGCTTTGCCAAAGCAGACTACAATTTTTATGTAATCGTCCAAAGGGATTCGGATCGGTGGCCGAGCCAGTGTCGCGTCGCGTCGCGTCGGGCCGGGCCGGGCCGGACCGGGGGACGACTTTTGTCATTAAAGTTGCACGCCGCGGCGCGCATTATGTTCCCGGGTCCGCGTCTCTGAAATTTAAAGTGCCCTTGAATCTTTCACGAGAGATCCGAGTCTCGCGAGGTTCCGCGATAGGGGATGCTATCTAGTCTCTTTTCTGGCCGTCGACGTTTGTCGCAAATACTGAGCTACCCTGGGACAACCAAGATATTTTTCGACGCTACTTGCTACATTTTACCGCGTTCTGCTACCTTTTCTTGCCGGGGCAGTGAATCGCGAAACGTTGCTCCTCGAAGTGCATAATTCGATGTACATATACGGATACATTTCGTGTTCCCTTCGCGGCTAGAGTTCCAAATGCGACTCCATTTATTTGCTTTCGCTTATTTGAAGATAATTTTTTTAATTGAAGGGAGGTTTCATTTTGTGGGTGATCAGAAATGGTAGTTAGGACAGTTTCAACTAAGGAGGGCAGTACTGTCTTCGTAACTTGGTGCGAATCGGGTAGAATATTAGTTACTACGATAGATAGGGCACAGTCTGTTTTATTGCGAATCGCACGAGTGCTTTTGCAAAATATCTTGTTCCATTTGTGAGAGAACTTTTTAGTGTTAAATTTTCTTATTAGTCTAGAAAGGTTGAGACCAATCTTCTCTTACGTGTTACTGACGTCAATGCTATAAAGATGTAAGCGTTCAAAATTTATACAGGCATTGGTTTATAAAAATACGATAGAAACGGGAGATCAATTTTAGAAATGTACTCAAAATGCATGTATTATTATTTTCAATACAGATGGAAAGTTCGACGATCACTAATTCGTATAAAAGTTTGCAGTCTTGCAGTAGGAGGAATTTTCGAATATTTCTTAGAACTGCTATAATAAATGATAAATACCTTTAAAAGCTTGTATCTTTTGAATAAAGCATTTTCGGGCATAAGTTCGTATGAAATTTGTGTTCATCTATTCGACCTCGGTAACACGTAGTACAAGTTTTGGTCCCAAACTTTCTGGACACCCTATACATCAATAACTGATACCAGCCTTACAACTGTAACTGTAATTTACAGCTTGCTCTGCCTGTGCAACTATTCTCGTAACTAGACTGCGGATCTTTGTGCGTTTATGGTGTGTGCAGATTTTTTAAACGCAAGAAAACGCATAAATTAACAAAGTCTAATGATATTTTAATCTTATTTTTACGATCAATAAATTTTTGATCGACGAAATGAGCTTTTCTTTCATTCTAATTTTTGTAAAATGACGTATAAAACTGAAAAATTGCGCACACTCACAATTGATCGAAGCTGGGCAAAATTATTATTCTCAATATCAAAAGTGGTGGATGATTTATTCTATTTTAGATTTCATGGACCGTGGATTATTCTCGTGGACCATTTTATTTCCAAGTCAGTTTTTTAATAATATCATTTGTCTATTTAACGTTGCACTTTTAATCAGCAGTTTATGTTTCATGTTGCGAAGAACAATAAAAAGAAATCAGGTACTCCAAGAAAACGAAAATGGGTGAACCGTTAGCCTGGGGAACGTATTTAAGGGTTAATAGGTTCATTAGGGTGGGAACGATGGGCGTAACATTTTGAAATTCGCTTGATGTTTTTATTATCTTACGTTTCATCGCACAACTACTACCGTACTTTTACAAGCCACTTGATTTTCTGCTTGCACGTGCACCCACGGCATCGCTCTTCTTATTTCTTTATTCTACTTCAGATTATTTGCTTTACAGCGTCCTCCTTCTGCTTCCCGTGCTTCCACGTTGTCCCATTCATTCCTGCACTCTCCCCTAGCCACCCCCACTCCTCCTCTTCGTCGCAGATCCAATTCCTTCATCCAATTACAGGAGAAGTTGTTGCCCTTAAAAAAAGACTTGGAGAAAACCCTTACAAAACACTTTATTCTTGGCATCCAATTTTGAACGACCCCCGCTGGGCGTTCCGCATACTAATGCCGTTCTATTAAACTCCTACCATTCTTAATTAAAACCACTGTACTTAATTGAATTTTTATGTCGCATCGATTCTCGTGCACAAAGAGAATTCAGATATCTGCCGATTTAATCAAGACATTGTCCAACACGTTCTAAAATCCCCGTGACACGCAACTGCTGTGAATAAAAGCTTTATTCGTAGAATATTCAGTTTGCGTCTTTGCGTATGCTGATTGCAAATGGTAATTTAAAAATGCGGCCACTTGCAAACGCCTCGAATACTCGTTACAGTGACGTTATTTTCGTCAACGTCCAACTGCACATTTATTTTCGCCCGAAATACAAGATGTATTTGCCCAGCGATTAAATATTTAGCTTTGCCTCAAAAAAGGTTACTAATTAAACGTTAAATATTTGTGCTGCAGCGATCGATAAAAAAAGAATGACAAAATGCTCTGCAAACACTGCGAAATTCAATCCCGCATTCAATGTAATAATTTTTCCAAAATTCAGGTAGTATATAGAAATCGATTCACCGACGCAACACTCCTGAATTTCAATCCATTAAATAAAAGATCTCGCGTCGCGTAGCAGAAATTGCATAGAACAGTGAAAATCGCACACACTAATTTTAAGTAGAACTACCTTCTCTGCGTACCATTTTATCAAAGCTACAATTTTATTTCCGAACGAAGCCGACAGATTTCTCGCTACCTTTTCGGAGACCGAAAATGGCTCAGCTCCGACTGTAGAATTTGTTACGGTATTATTAACCCGAGAAGGAAATTGCATTTCTCTTGTACACCTATTCAAGACCGTTGAAAAGAAGTTTATATTTCGGACGAACATAAAATGTTGAGTTTTGGCGAGCTTTTCGAGGGAAATGGCTCGAGAGTGGCTACACGCGCGTTGCTCGCGGGTCTGGTGGATACCTGCGGCGGAATTAACGTCGGCTGCAACTATCTCCCCACTCAGAGACCCGATTTCAACCCCCTCAGGAACCCGATGTCGAAGTGTCACCCCGTAATCGAGTGTCTTGCGGTTACAGAGGGAGAGAGGAGGGCGGTTCGAGCGGCGGCCACCGTGAACCTCGATCGACGCCCGATTGGGGGCCAGGTGCAGTCAATGGGGAACATCTTTGGGTGCCAACCTCCGCTTCCGGTGATTTCTGTTACGTCAACGACTGCTCGGTGAGTTCTGCGACTTCTCTCTCTTCCCCGGTTCAATATTTTCCACCCGGGGACTGTCACCGGATTTCACAATACAGCCTGCCGCGTCTTTCAACTCTGCAACGATGCGCTTGGAATCTCGAACAATAACTCGTTCAGATGGCTGGAGTAACGATCTCTATTATATTTGTGTAAAATTTAAGAAAACTCGAACGATGATAAGAATTCAACCGTTGAAAGCAGAAACGGCGCAAGTCGGAAAAGTTAATTCGCGAATAACGAAGGACCAATTGAAAGTTCTGTAAAATACAATTCTTTTATGCAAGCCACTTTCAAGCTTCAACATGAAATAATAATGAAAAGTTAAATGAACTATTAAATTACATGCGATTTAATAATATTAAATCTCCTAACAAAGAATTGACTTACACCACTCTTCTGTTTTAAACGAAGCAATAGTACTTTATTCATTTGATTTTTACGGCAAGCAATCTTTAAGTCGACGAAACAAATGATTCTTTTGCTTTTATTTCCACGAAATTGAACAGTGGGATTACCGAATGATCGCGGCGTTTAGATTTAAGCCTTTGCACTCGAATGTCGACTCTGCGGCGCCATTAAAAACTACTGTATCGCATTACAAAATAATTTTAACATCATCAAATCGGTTTACATGTAAAATCTGCTAAAAGTGTAACTGTTGCATGAGTCGCAAAATGCAGTTTCATACGTATAAAGTGCGTTAAGCTATATAAAATGGAAATACTATAGATCGAAGAAACTATCTTGAATTACGAGTTAAAATGTCTCCGACTGCAAAGGGTTAATTACAGTGATTGCCCTAGTATCGTCCAAGATAGAACTGGCAGCAAATGTTTTCTGCAACATTTTATTTTAATCTTAACACTAAAATTATCTGATATACTGGGACCACGATAATTGAATGTTATGCAAGATGAAATTGCTTTCACGTTAACTTGTAGACGTACAACAAAGAAAATAAGTACAAAAGTACGTGGAATATTTAGAAGCGTTTTAGGAAAGATAAGTCGAAAATGCAGAGCAAAATGTCTTCGTGAAGCTTAGTTAACACGTTCCGTGCCACGTGTACCATTAATGGTACACGCGGACATATTTATTTAAAGCGCTGAAGACATACATTTTGTGACAAATTTGATTGTATAAAATATATTTCCACCAAAAGGATGAGAGGCATTGTAAAAAATGCTGTATAGAACAAAGCACATAAATTTGTTTAATCGTTATATACACAATAACTATTAATTACAATGTTTGACTTTTTTAAAGCAAGAGCTGCATAAAAACGGTTGATTCGGGCAATCACTACTTATCTACTGATGATATAATGAAATATTATGTGATAATGTATCAATCTTTAGTCAAAACATCAAATGGCCTGAACGACAAGTTAGGCAAAAATGGCTTGGCACGGAACGTGTTAAGGGTACTTTGACTTTCGCGACACCGTTCAAACACCATCGCCGCCGCGTCTCATTAACGTAACGCGGTTCATTGATTCCGCTCCGTCTCGACGAGCCAATTATAGCGTATTAATTGATTTCTAAGAATGTGTACGCAATCGTTACGCCGACGGCTGAAAATAAACGTTCATGCTCCGGAAGGTCGTCTTTATGAGCTTGTTTTTGTTTTCGCGTTACACGATTACACCGTCTCGAATAATTAGGGGATTAGCCCTCTATCATGCTTCCGGGTATATTCGTAATTAGTGGTGCTACGCCATCTGGAATTCCATGCTGATCCTATGTCGGTTTGCTACATACATATGTATATATGGAATTTCATCCTCGTTGGTTCAAAACTTCTGTTCAGAAACACGTGTATCAAATCCTTGCTATCCTAATCATTTATTTATTTAGCATGCATTTAACTAGTTTACCTTCCTTTAGTAATCGTTCGCTTTCGATTCTCCTTTTGTTTTACATTCTTCTGAAATTCAACGATGAAAATCGGCTTCGATTGCAACGTTAAAAATTCATT